ATTTCGACAAGGTTTTGATGATGACAAAACCTTGTCGAAATGTTGTACATTTGCTGTTACATTAACGTTTTTCTTCATTACCCATTCAAGCCGTCTCCAGCCATTATAAATATATTTCCTGACTTTATTTACAACTACAAACACCATGATAATGACAGTTTACACACCACATATAGGTGACACCTGGATGTATAATTCATTCATATTCTTTGTAATAAAAATTGGAAAAATACAGGCCAACAAATATCATAAAAGAATGAATGTAAATCACTTGAATGTTATCCTACCAAATTATTTTTCAGATTTTCTTTGTTATTCTGTTGTGTATGAGAATGTATTAATCATTTTGGCAGACTTTGCTAGCACTAAGATGGAAAAAATAATCAATTTCTGCACTGCCTTACAAGCTTTGGCAGAATCATCACATGTGAAGGTTTGGTTTAATTCAGAAATACAAGACCAATGTAACTTACTGGTTCATGCATATTTGCAGTGAACTGGACCACCAAAACCATTGGTGAACAGGAGCTAGATGCTTGTAAATAATAGATAATGCAACAACTCATATGACTTTTCAAACTTTTGCCACTTTGAAACATTTCTATACTTTACTTACTTCACTTGAATTTATAATAGGAAAAATGCAGATTAATATAAGTTATTAATATACCCTATATAAAAGCCCGTGTGTCACGTAACGTCACGTTTGGTTTCTCTTAATTTTTTTAAGTTGGAGGAGTCATAAAAGCCAAAATGCATTTATCTTGATAGAATAGTCCAATTACTGTCCGCTCATGACGATTTTAGTGACAGGGGTCATGAGGAGGTGGGAATGTTGGAATGTAGCGTTACCAAAATGCACTGGATTTTCTATATATTAATAGTTGTTAAGCTAACAGATTTTTACCAATAATTATTCTATGAATACATCACAAATTCATTTCATCAATGATCTTAATTTTCATTGGCTCACAAAGGAATTTACCAAGTCTTGACTGCCTCGAATGCACTTTTCTGCCTCTTTACTGGTCAAACTTGATTTTGCAAAAATGTATTTATTTCAGTTAGCTATGAAATATGAGGTTGGAGTATAGTATGGGGTGGGAGTGGTAGTACTTGCTCCATCAGTTTTGCCAGGCCATATGCAAAAAAACATAATAACTTTATGCTTGAGTAATTTTAAATATCTATTTGTTTCAAATTCCAATGTTTATAGATGTTCACGATGTGTTGGAGCAGACAAGATTGTGTATCTTTTCTACACTGATTGACACGAGAATGGAAATACACACTACAAAACATGTCTGTTCATTTGGATAATGTATATTCTAATGCTGTGTTTGAAGTTAAGCACAAAGCTACACAATGGGCTATCTATGCTCTGCCCACCACAGGTATCGAAACCCGGATTCTAGCATTGTAAGTCTGCAGACATACCGCTGTGCTACTGGAGGGCTTATTCTAATGCACTAGTTTGTTATCCATCATAAAAAATACTTTGAATACAACTCAATATAAGTTTAGTGTTTTGGATATTAAATTTTTCTTTTAGAGCTTTCGACTCATAATATTTAATTATAAGAGCAAACCAAGATCTTGATGCTAGAAACCTATGATAGATAAAAGAAGTCTTCACCATACAACTCATAATACTGTCAACCTAACAAGGAAATATAAAGTCAGAAGAAAAAACCTCTTGAAAACATTCAAGTAGTTAGTGTATTCTCATAGTAATGGGGGAAATCCTGGATGAGTAGATAGCACAACAGACTTTCTAACAAGATCCAAAATCAAATTCTGGCCACCATCAACATACCACTGCAAACAGTCTTTCTCAGGACTACCCTAAAGGCAGTAGATTAGCAGCCAAAATGTAGCACTAACCCTATCACCATGGGTATCCTTTACTGCACATGACACAAGGTTTTAGTGTCTTACATTCCAAAGTTTATTAAACTACTTTTTGTTTATGTTATACCAATTAGTATAGCATAAAACCTTAGCTAATAATCTATATAGTATACAAGTTCTTAATTCTATAACGCAATATTTAAAAACTCCTGAATTTCCCCTCGTGTGACACACATGAAACATTTTCTCTAGGTATCTTCTCTATTTTATCCATCACCCCTTCAAAAAGTATGAAATTCAATATAAATTACTCATAAAATTATCATTGCTCAAACAAACCATAACTTTTATAGTATTCAATATTGTTTGGTTACAGAGTTATCAAATAGAAAACCAGACCCTTCCTGCCACATCCTTTCTTTCAGAATTTGTTAATAGTTCTCTCTTACGTGTAATTATATATTATCTATAACCAACAGATAGCCAAGGTTTTCTTCTATCAAAATTATTTAAAGCACTACTACCATCAGTATAAAAATAGTAGGGTTAAGTGTCATCGACAGTTGACAACGAAAAAAAAAAAAGAAGAAAAACTTGGTTAAGTACTTTATTAAGTAGGGTTAAGTGTCATCGATAGTTGACAGCAAAAATAAAAAAATACTCGGTTAAGTACTTTATATCTTGATTTTCATGTATACTCTTTATTTATTATTATAAAAGTAATTAAAATGTAAGACAGAGATCTCTTTAGGTTAGTTAATGTTAGATTGGGTAAAATAAACAACAATAATAATATAATATAAATATTTAATGTAGCATCCACATGAGCAGGTCATAGTAGCTTATGAGTAATGTAATTCGATAGCATAATGGGAGCTGTACATTCCCCAAATGATTTACAACTTATAATGGCACAAATAGTAGTTAGATGTGGTTCAAAGGGCAATAAAACAATAAAATTTAATTATAAACAGATGTATACTGTTATGTTTTTAAAGCTACTAAGGATAAATGAATATAATTTAATGCTACATTTGAAGTCATTCTAAAAAGAATATGATGGTAATTTAAATTTATTTTGATTTTTTTTGGTGGTTACAAGGTCAGTCAAATAAAAATAAGAAAAATCTCAAAGAGTATCTTTAATCTTAACATGAAAATCGCTTTGCACATAGACTATTGAAAACAAATACTCGATATATTCAAGGACAAATCTTATTTTTTAGTTCATTAAAAATACTTCACTAAAAAATATGATTTTTTGTATTTGAAAGGCATATAATGTTTACTGAAAGACTGGCAAATTTCGTGAAGATATACACACTATATCAAAAGTTCATAATGTAAAATCAATAAAGACTCTATACAAGTACAAAAAAAAAGTCACGTGATTGGTAGATGATTGTATAGGCTACCGATCATAATGGACTTTCGATGACGAGGAACCCACTTTGAGACTAATAATGGCTAGAGACGGCTTGAATGGGTAATGAAGAAAAACTTATATTAAAGTTTTTCTTCATTACCCATTCAAGCCGTCTCCAGCCATTATAATGGACTTTGGTGATCACATAGGTTGTTAACCATGAAAATGACTTATAACATCTGATTGTTTCAATGTTACTTATATATTTAAATGATTCAACAACTTTTTTTTACATCCTTTTGAAGATGTTTGTACTTACCAGGTGTTCTTTCTAACCCATTCCCATTTTGTTGCAACTCTTCCTGAAATTCACTATCTTTCTGTAAATTCAATATATCATCTTCATCACTGTCACTGTACTCAGCAAGAACCATATCTTGTGAATGATCAGGTTCATCAGTTTTTACCCTGACAAATGTATTCTGAAATCAAAAGGTAAAAAAACAAATGCCATAACTAATGTATGCAATCAAATACATACAGTCTCCTCAGTGTACTAAATTCAAACTTGATTATACGAAACTGCCATTTGAAAGCTGTAAATTTGCATCCCAGAAGATTCTCCAGCAAGGCAGACAATTTACTGAAAGGAAGTTGAGTAATAAACAGAAATTCAAAACTTGCTGTATATATTTCAAAATATTTTTGATGATGAAGACTGACATTTGTGTTATGCTAAAAAATATTTAAATACAAATATATGGTGCACTGCAAAGCATGCATTTAAAATTCACATATATATATATATATATATATATATATAGTATATATACACACAAGCACAATAACAATAAAAG